AATTTGTTTTCCCAAGTTTTTTTCAAGTGATATATTTAGGGCGCTTGAGAGGAAAGAATTGGCCAGTCCTTTATTTATCTTCCTAACAGGTGCAATCCGCACAGCCATAAAATCAGGCTACTGAAAAAGAATGATTTTGCCAAGTATTAAGTCTCTCTAGCATGCATTTGCCCCAGAGTATGCCTTCTTAAAACAGATAGCTCAAACCTATACATACCTCTTCAGTACAGCATAGCAACATTTTTTCAGGGGGAAACATGTAGTAGCATTCATTCATTCATACAACTTCTTTATTCCTCCTCCAAATCTTTCACTTGGCCTAAATAAACCATTCGAAGTAGAAGAATAGTTGCCCTTGATTAAATACCTCCTCCCTCTTCCCCTGTTCTTTCCCTTACTTCCTACAAATGAAATTTTTCCCAATTTGAAGGAAAGGTGATATTTTATATATAAGATGAGGGTATTTTTCCCACTGCTTTTCAGAGAGTGAAAAGGAAGGAAGGAGGGAGAGAGATACACAGAGGACAGAGAGAGACACACACACACACATTGATTGATTGCCTCTCACACTCACCCCAACCCAGGCTGGGGATCGAACCTGCAATCCAATACGTTGCCCTTGACCGGGAATCAAACCTGAAACCCTTCACAGTGCACAGGCTGATGCTCAATCCACTAAGCCCCGCCAGCCAGGGAATAAGATGACTTTTCCAAAGATTAATTTGTTTTGGTGTTTGAAATAAGCCATCTGATCTCATGCAGGTAGATTTTCTGTCACCACGCTTCCTTTTTCTGATGATGATTAAGCCTTGAGCCATGCTAAGAAATAGGCAAGAGGTAACGAATGCTGCTCTATATTGAGATAGTTGGGGGGCTTAGCAGAATTTTAAAATATAGCAAAATCTCTAGGGAACCAAGAAAGAAAGATATAGCAAACGAAAAAGTCTTATAGACTTAAAAAGAAGAAAGAAAGAAAGTTATTCTCCATTACCATGTTCCCACCTATTTCTACTGAAAAGGGCCAAGATAGATTAGCTAGATAGATAGATATTGCATGATGATATAGCAAAAGAATCTAGCAACAATACCATGCCTTTGATTCTCAGAGTTATCAGAATGGGAACCTTAAAATTATGGTCATAAACAGAGTGATGTTTTTCTGTATGTTTGAGTTTTCAAGAAGAGATCTCACATGGCTGATGAAGGAATGACAATGACTTCCCTAAGGTTTTTGAATGTTACCCAAGCACTTTGCCTTTTTCCTGCAAGTTAAGTACCTAAAACATAAAAGGACCTGATATCATGTAACAAAAAGTGAAATTTGTGTTGAAGCCTCAACTTGGTGCTTTAGAAGAGCGTTTTTCTAGTAACTTTAGGTTCTGACAGTAAACAGTTGTCTAAGTATGGTAGGGAACTGCTTTATGGTTTTAATTATCACAAACTACAGAGATACCATTCTAAGGAGTCATTGGCGGGGGGGCAGTTAAGAGTCATTTGTAGCATCTTAAAACTATTAGAGAGTCTACCACAGAAGAAAGGTGTTTGGAATTTTCTAATTTTGTGTTGATAAAAATACTTTTTGACAGGAAAAAGGAGAAGTTTCCAGCGAAAGGTGATTTTTAAAAAAAATCAACCCCGGGGCAATTAGTGAGGGCTTTTAAAATAGAGGCCATATTGAATATATCTCTCAAGTCCCAGCAACTGACTCCTAGTAACTGCTCAATTAATGGTTGATGCACGAATAAATGTATGCAAAGCATTCCCACAAATCTCGAGCTTTTTTTTTTCACATCCTCTCTCACTATTAGAATAGGATAACTTAAAATTACTAGGCATCAGGCTCTGCATGAATCCAAACTATAAGATCTAGAACTGGTGGTACAAATAATCCAGTTCTCCACAGGATAAATACACAATTTATAGTGGTGGAGAGAAGGAGTAGGAAGTGGCTGCTCCTTAAAAATAATACTGTCTTCCTCCAAAAGGGGTTAGTGAGTCATCTAGAATCTTTTCAAGGGTCTAAACAAGGCCCATTAACCAATCACTTCCATTCCTTCTTGAGGCCCAGAGTTACACCTGTACTTCTTCCTCCTTAAAAGATCCAGCTCTCCCAAGACCCAACACGAAGTTCCCAGAATTAGGCCACTGAAGGTTGGGAGGCAGTTGAGAGATACATCATTTGCAGCTTCAGGTGCTGAAAACTCAGCCTCTTCCAAAGAGTTGCCAGGTCCTCTTGGATCCTAAGAGGGCCAAACAGCCCATGTCTTCGATCAAGAGTGACAGCAAGTGGTCATGTCCTTCCTGGGCATGGTTGTCTGGGCTGGGGAAGAGGTAATAAGACCTGCAGGGGCTGGAGGAACCTGTCCCTTGGGTGGTTTGAAATGACTCTGAAGAGTTGGTTTGGAGGCAAGTTTTATTCTTTTTTAAAAATATATTTTATTGATTTTTTTTTTACAGAGAGGAAGGGAGAGGGATAGAGAGTTAGAAACATCTATGAAAGAGAAACATTGATCAGCTGCCTCCTGCACACTCCCCACTGGGTATATGCCCACAACCAAGGTACATGCCCTTGACTGGAATCGAACCTGGGACCCTTCAGTCCGCAGGCCAACACTCTATCCACTGAGCCAAACCGGTCAGGGCAAGTTTTATTCTTGAGGCTATCTTTCAGAGGGATGCTTACATGGAATAAAATGAACCCCAGTAAAAGTGAAATCAGTTAGGAAAAGGTACAAGAACCAGAATAGCCCTAACTCTTCTGATGAAAATAATAGTAAAATGCACGCATATCACCAGGAAAACTCTTCAAGGTGCAGTTTCTTTAAGAATCAGTTCTAGACTGAAGGATATCAGAGGGGGAGGGGGTTGGGAGGGTCTTGATAAAAGAAGGTGTAGGGATTAGCCACAGAACAGATTATGCATAGCCCATGGACACAGACAAGTGTGGTGAAGGTCAGGGGAGGGGTGAGGCAGGAGCTGGGTGGAAGTAGGCCAAGAGGGGAAAAAATGGGGAACATCTGTAATAGTGTTAATAATAAAAAATATATTCATGCCAAAAAAAAAAAAAGAATCAATGCTGCTGGTAATGATACAAATGCAAAAAATCCCTGTAATTCCTCAAAAGATTTTAAATATATCAGTAACCCTCTCTTTATCTCTACTCCCTATCACCTAAATTTAAACTAACCAAAGAATCTATGAGTAATTTAAACTAACCAAAGAATCTATGAGTATAAAATTACTGTCCTGGGTCGGGGACTCCTACACAGAATATCAACGGTACTTTTATAGCAAAAGAAGATCATGAGGACTTTGGTATCTGTGTTACTTTAGTAAAAATATACATTTTGGGCGGGTGGGGAGTTGAAGTTAAAGATATGGTTTCCTCTTTGTAGCTCTAAAATTTCATTGTCTCTAAAAGTAGAATGGATCAGATTGAGTTGGCAGACAAAGTGTAAGTTTAGCAAACAGAATAATTTTAATTAGCTTTATAGGCGCTATCGCCTGTCATCTTTTTTTTTTTTTTCTTTAGTAGTTTCTCAGCCATTTTCAAGTGGGCTTCATGCGCATTCATCCACTAAGTATGGGTTAGTTAAAACAATATTCTGTCCTCAGTCAGAAAACATAGAATGCATTTCATCCACATAAGCCTTGAAGAGGCTAGTCAAGTGACAGATCAAATAAAAAGGACACTTAATACGCATGTAAATCATTTGCATTACAAATAAGACACTTTAGCAGGGGTTGGACTCCCTGCCCGATAGTCAGGATTAAGTTCCCATATTAATGCATGCATTTGGTGTGGTTATTTCGGGTGGAAGACTTCATCCATCAATGCTCCACCAGCAAGTAAAGCCAACCTGTAAGCTGATCACCACAGCCTGTCAACACTGGTTACTTAATTACATAAAGAAAATATATTTCAAAGACTTTTGGTAATTTGGTTCAATGTCTAGCATCTTTCTCAAGGTTCTTCACAATAACGGTTAAAAGCAGTTTTAAGAATTAAAGATGAAAACACTAACTGCTATTTTTTTGCTCTTTGCTAATCTTTTTTTCAGCTTTTATTTGCAAAAGTCAAAAATAAAAATTCAATGAGCGCTCATGAAGGCTCATATGAATGAAATAATATTTTATCAGATGTTTCCATTAGAAACTAAACTAAATGTACTTGTGCCGTTAATTTGTGCTTTTCGTTAAGTCATTTTAATAATTTCTAATTCCAATTTATTTATGTTACTAATTAGTAGTTAATTTTGATTGTTTTATAGAAAGGAGAAGCATTTCTTCTAATGAAGAATAGTTTCATGTTTTCAGTTTAATTATTTTTGAAAGGCTACATATTATGAAATTATCTACAATAAGACTCATTAAAAACACAACCCATCATATTCAAAGTTTGTCTCTTGCAGGTGTTAGATTTTCTTCCCATGCAAGAATTTAATGAATGAAGCTCCAAGTGCACTAAAAGCAAAAAATGCCTGCATCTGTCTATTCTAAAAAGTTTGCCAGTTGATAAAAACAACCAATCTGGAAATAGTGCCACCAATTCTTTTTTGAAATCTTGATCAAATCTATTAACCATTTTTTTTAAAGTTTATTCCAAGCTCCTCTTCGCACACACAATTTGCAAATACATGATGAAAATTTTGTGATTCAACCTATGAAAATACACTTGAAAAATGCAACTGGCCCACCACAAGCAACTAACATCCTCAAGTTACATGTAAAGGATCCCTTGTCATTGTATGATAAAATTACAATTTGAAACTTTCAGTCACTATTTCTTCACAAACTATCATTGTCAGATATTTTCAAATTGGTATACTCTTCCTATATCTTTCCTCCGGTCTTTTTATCCTCAAGGGTCTTTTCCTGAAAGCACGGCGATTCTATTATTTTATAGTCTATTTAAGAAATTGGATTTGTTTAAAAATTACTACCAAAATGAACTCACTCTATTAAAAAGTACAGCAAAAAGGTTTATGGATGAGTCTTACCCTCCTTCTTAGCAGGTTCTGGGGCAGGTTCTGGGACAGGTTCTGGGACAGGTTCTGGGACAGGTTCAGGCATGGCTGCAGTAAAGTGTTATTCTCCAAAGAATTTGCTCCCCTCCAGTAAGAGATGACGGAAACCCCACGAGCAGTTGACAGACGGTGCAGGTCAGTGTGACAAGCAGTTGGGGAGAAACCCAGTGCTTTTGTACTGCCTCTGAACTTCAGTCATGTGGCACCGCCCCTTCTTCAGCACAAGGATGCTGGAACTTGACAGCGAGGAGGACCTTTCTCACATCTGTTGCCTGTACTCTGCTCTCTCGCCTATTGGAAGGAATCTCCTGTCCATCTCATGTGGCTGATGAGAACACTTCTACTTTCTAAATTCAGCTGCAGCCTCGTGCTCCTTCTTACTCTCTCTCTCTTTTTTTTTTCTGTCTAATGAAAGCCTGTCTCAACTCAGGAGTGCAAAAAAGTTTGCCAAATGATAAAAAATTAAATTAAATTAAAAATTAGAATATGTGAATCCAACATGTATCTTAATTTTTACTAAGGGTATAAAGAAAAAAAATCTCTGAATTAAGATGATAATTTTATGTTCCCATTAGATTTTTATTTTTCTCAGTTCTTAATTATTAGATTTAAATTTTTTCTTATTTATTTTTTTGAGAGTGAGAAAGAAGAAGAAGAAGAAGAGAGAGAGAAAAGAGAAAGAGAGAGAGACACCAATTTTTTGTTCCACTTATTTATGCATTCATTGGTTGATTCTTATATGTGCCCTGACCAGGGATTGAACCCACAACTTTGGCCTATCAGGACAATGCTCTAACCAACTGAGCTACTCAGCCAGGGCCATTAATAATATATTGAAGTTAATTTGAAAAGCCAAATTTCTATGTTGAATATCTTCTCTCATTTAATCCTCTAAGAATAGCAAAGGTTTCTATTAAGGAATACTTAGACTTTATATTTTCTCAAGAAACATCTTTTGAAACATTACAGGGCAATATAAAAGAATGAAGGAATGATACATGGTGCCACATGGATGAAGCTTGAGTACATGGTACCAAGCGAAAGAAGGAAGACACAAAAGACCACCTACCATACAGTTCCATTTTTGTGAAATGTCTAAGGTGCTCAGAAAGTTGATTAGTGGTTGCCAGCGGCTGGGCGGAGGCGGAATTAGGAGTGACTACTAATGGATCTGGAGATACTTTTAGGGGTGATGAAAATGTTCTGGGATTAGATCGTGGTGATGATTGTACAACTTGGTGAATATATTAAAAACCACTGAATTGTACATTTCAGAATTTACGGGGGCCTGGCTGACCTGGGTTAGTGGTTGAGCGTAGACCTATGAACCAGGAGGTCACAGTTTGATTCCCCGTCAGGGCATATGCCCAGGAATATACAGGAGGCAGCCAATCAATGATTCGGTCTCATCACTGATGTTTCTATCTTCCGCACTGAAATCAAGAAAAACATATTAAAAATAATAAATAAGTAAAAAATAAAAATAAATGGGGCAAAGTCAGACAGACCAGTAGCCATTGTTTTGTTTCAAGAGAGCAGACAGACACAGGAATCTAACTTAAGATATTGGTAGACTATCAGATTTGGCCACTTTCTCTCAAAGTCTCCGAGAACTTCATGGAGAACTATGAACTACCAAGTGGTCAAACTAAAAAAGACACCTTACTTTCTTTAACCACATTCATGGCACCTCAGAGACCAGAACTAAAATTAGTTTATATATGAAAAGACTCCTTGAGTGCCTTTATTGCCATGTGTTTTCAAGATCATTCTCAAGAGGCTTTGATTGATTTGTAGGGAACCAGCCACCCTGTCTCATTTAATTTCCCTTGTGGCTGAGAGCGCAGCTGGTCAGACTTAGCTCTACCAAACTCTGTGCCAAGCTAACTTTTCATATAAGGATGGAAACTCAACTTAGAACTCAATAGCATCATGCTTTAGCTATGTGGGGGGCGGGGGAGGAGAGCAGTCAGGAAGGTCAATGACCATTTTCTACAAAGAAAGCCTTTTCTCAACCACGTAGTGTCACTGATCCCATTGTTTTGCTTTTAAAATTATTTCCTTGCTCTTAGATGCTAAACATCAGCCAGAAGACAGCATTTTATATAATACAAAGTTAGATGTGCCTTGAAAAGAACAAAACCAAACATTCCCCCTCTCTCCCTTCCACCCCCCGACCCCCAGTCTACCATGAGAGTATCAATTAACACATGAAATAAACTAAAGAAGGTAGAATCTGAAGTCAGATTTTTGGGTTCTATTTCTGGACCATCATTGATTAGCTGAGTTACTCTAAGAAAGATAAGGGGCCTTTCTGGGCCTCAGTTTCCTTTTGTGTAAATTGAGGGGCATATAAAAATTACCTTTGGCCCTAGCCAGTTTGGCTCAATGGATAGAGTGTCGGCCTGCGGATTGAAGGGTCACAGGTTTGATTCTGGTCAAGGGCACATACCTCGGTTGCAGGCTCCCGGCCCTGGTCAGGGGCATGTGGGAGGAAACCAATTGATGTGTCTCTCTCACATCAGTGTTTCTGTCTGTCTCTCCCTCTCCCTTCTATTCTAAAAATCAATGGAAAAAATGTCCTCAGGTGAGAATAAAAAAATTTTAAAAAGCTTAAAAATATTTGACCTCTGCAGCCAATCAATGATTCTCTCTCATTATTGATGCCTCTATCTCTGTCCCCCTCTCTCTTCCTTTCTGAAATCAATAAAAAACATATATATTTTAAATGACCCCTGAAGATCCTTCTAGATGTAACATAGTGATTCTACATGGGTATGTCTGAAAAGGAATCATTTCTTCAGCATTCCCATAGCACTGAACACCACATATGAAAGGACATAAGGACTGAGTGTCACATTGCAGAAGAACGTTTATAGTGATGGGCAGATTTCACGCATGCCATAAAAGAGGTGCCATGCCATCATTGGCCTCTGCAGAAACTCAGTTGGGTTTTTAATACACTGATCATTTTACTGAAGTGAACAAGTGCCAGGAAATACTGAAACCCATGAAGAAAATATGTTATGGCCTAGGGAACTTTTTGCTAAAAAGACAAAACTGCTCTAACCTATTTGGCCCAGTGGATAGAGCATTGGCCCAAGGACTGAAGGGTCCTGGGTTCGATTCTGGTCAAGGGCATGTACCTAGGTTGCAGGCTCAATCCCTGATCCCAGTCTGGGCATGTGTGAGAGGCAACCAACCCATGTGTCTCTCTCACATCTATGTGTTTCTCTCTGTCTCTCCCCTTCTCTTCCACTCTCTCTAAGAATCAATGGAAAAATATCGTCAGCTGAGGATTAACAACAACAAAAGGGCAAAATCTAATTGGAAGTATGAACAAATTCTAGGAAAATGATTGTAGAGTATATTAATGGGTAAAGTAAAATTTTTAATCAGGGTAATACGTCGACATGAGTAATTTTTCAGGATCGTATTGTTTTAGGAGCACATAAACCCTACTTCAGATCTTACACATCCATCTGGAAGGTTGCAGGCGTTTTATCTCCAACATGCCTCTCAGGCAGGCAGTGGGAAAAATGGTCAGCAGGGCTCTTCTTTTTTTCCTATTTTTAAATGCTTTATTGTCCCCCACCTCCCGTGGTGTTCTTTAGGATTAGAGTTGGCCGAATATTGCATGAACCCACAGAATAACAGCTAAATCAAGATAGAAGTCTTTCTTGATCACATAAAGGAAATCCAAAAGTAACTCGTCTAATCATTATAGTGGGTCCACAGTGCCATCAGAAATCCACGTTCCTCCTTCCTGCTCTACCGACTGCCCTTCGGGTAGCTTCATGGTCTAGAATGGCTGCTGGTGCTCATGTCATTACATCTACATTCCAGGCAGCAGAAAAAAAAGAAGACTCACTTTCTTCATTGTAAGGAACCTTCTTTGAAGTCCCACACATCCCACTGGCTAGAACTTGATCACGTGGCCACTTCTGGCCACAGGATGACCTGGCAAATGTAGTCCTTCATTCTCAGTGGCAATGGGCTTGTTACCAAAGAGAATAATGAGAATGGATGTTGGATAGGCCAATACCAATTTTGAGCACATCTTTCAAAACAAAAACAATAATGTTCACTGCACCAACCAAAGAGTGCAGAGGAGTATAAATGTTAACCCTCACCCTCTCCTTAACCTTATTTATCCTCACTCCAAGGTGGGAATTAGGGATCCAAACTTGGTCTAACTTTCCTCTGTGTTCATATAGAACATGCAAATATATATTCGTACATAGGAAGTTCTTCATCTATTTTTATCTACATTACTCTCCAACTTGCTTTTCCCATTTAACCTGTCATAGACAGACATCCTCCATGTTAATATGTACTAGTACATGTGTGTATGGGTGTGTGTGTGTGCATATAACTGAATAATAATCATTCATGGACTGGATGCACCATATGTGCCATGTATTCTCAATTACTTCTCTTTTGATGGACATTCAGGTTGCTTCCAGTATTTCGCCACCACAAATAACATCATAGACTATATACTTATATAATACTTTTATTTTTTAAAAAATTATTTTATTAATTTTTTATAGAGAGGAAGGGAGAGAGATAGAGTTAGAAACATCGATGAGAGAAAAACATCGATCAGCTGCCTCCTGCACATCCCCTATTGGGTATGTGCCTGCAACCAAGGTACATGCCCTTCACCGGATTCAAACCTGGGACCCTTGAGTCCACAGGGCGACACTCTATCCACTGAGCCAAACCGGTTAGGGCAAAACTTTTAAATTAGTCAGATAGAGATTAAAAATGAACTTGCTGGTGTAGATGCAGTTTAAATCTTTATAGATTTTTGTTAGATTACTTTCCCAAAATGTTGCCTACTTAACAGGCCAATCAGCAATGTACAAGATTGCTCATTTTTTCATACCCTGTGTGTTTTTAATTTATCAACTTAGTATGTTAGAAATGATTGCTCATTATTAACCATTTTTCCAAAGATTAAGCAACATATCATGTTTATTGGTGATTTCTATTTTTTCTGTTATTGCTTTTTTTTCAAATACTTATTTTTTTTCTAGTGATATTAACTCTGTCTATAATGTGTTTCAAATAACTTTCCCCCTTTTTTTTCCTTTTGATTTTATAATGCTTTTTTTGCCATAAACATTTTATTTATTCAAATCTGCCCTTTTCCCCTATAGCTTCTGGATTTTCTGTCTTACTTAAAA